ATGGTCTTATGTAGTTCAGATTGGCTTTCCACTCGCTATGTAGCTGAGGATGGTCTTGAACTAGGAGTTTTCTTCCCTTTATTTCCTAAGTGCTGGAACTATAGGCCTATGCCAAGATACCCCGGCCCTGGCTTTTCCATAAGCTTTAACGATACGTTTTAAATGATGACTCCATTCAATGGCTGAACCTTGGACAGTCGTCTTCAAAAGCAATAAAGTTCCTCAGCTTTGTGCGAAACCTCCCACATCTCACCTCGCTAAGTCTTAGCAAATTCTGTAAAGCACACGCTGTTTATATTTTATTGAAATATTTTAAAAATATCTGTAATGAACATAGAAGTCCTGATATGTAGCTGTTATATCACAAAATGAACATTTGAGGAAGAGCACTGAAGAAAGTTCACACGGAGAAGGAAGAGAACTAAAAACTTCCTCATGTCCACCAGATAAAATCACTTGGCTTTTGAGGAATGCGTGCCCTCGTGTGCTTGGCTAGCGCTTTAATACCGTTAATTTACAGTTTCACGGCGCCTCGCGGGGAGCTAAACACACAGAGACTAACTGCGTAGCTAGCCATACAGCAGCCGGTTTTAGTGACTCACACTCAACTAACTTGCGAGATTCACAGACACACCCCATCCTTCTTGTGAAGTCAGGTTCTGTGTGACCCTCATCACAGCTTGCAAAGCCCCCAAGGGCTCTGTAACCTGCCCTTGTGTTTTGTGTTGTTCACTGGCTAATAGTCAGTTATATTTATTCCTAAACATGCTTGGGATAATTAGACTTGTAATAATTTAATTGATTAAATTAAACGTATCTTAATTAAAAGTATGAAGATTATCAGCTTTCACAGTTTGAGAGAAAGAGGTAGTTGCTCTGAAACTAAGGGTTGAAAGCTGTGGAAAGTCTTAGCTTAACAAACTACTATTACAGCAGCTTTGGGCAAGAGAAACTTAGGAGACTACACGTGGAGCTGCAAAGGTGCCTTCGGGCTCTGCCTACAGACTGCCCCCAGATACCGCCTTCACTTGTGAGAACTTGACCCAGGGATTGTGTGCACTGTGGGTATGATATATGCAAAGAGGGTCATATACAGATCTACACTGGAGAGGGGAGGAAACACCAAAAATATCGTCAAATGAGTATGCATGAGTTATTGTATTTGGATTTTGACAATCTTTGGCTTTAACAAATATTTCATTACTTGGCTCATTTGTTGGATTGATTTCATAAAAGAAAAGACGTATTATAAAGTTTTAATTTTGGTAAGACTTTCTTTCTCTACTTCAAAAAAATTTTATTAATTCTTTGAGAATTTCATACAATATATTCTGGTCATATTCATTTCCAACCCCACCTTTTAACTCTCCTCAGATTCAAACCTACCTCCTTACCACCCCAAACTTCCTGTTATGTGTGTGTGTGTGTGTGTGTGTGTGTGTGTGTGTGTCTATATATTTGATTACATATAGAATCTTAGAGTTTTATTGCTGTGAATATATATATTGTCTTAGTTAGGATTTTTATTGCTGGGAAGAGGCACCATGACCATGGCGTTCTCTTATAAAGAAAACATTTAACTGGAGTGCCTCTGTTACAGCTTCAGAGGTTCCGTCCATTATAATCATGATGACGGAGAGCATGTCAGCGTTCAGGGAGATGTGGTAGTGGCTTAGAGTCCTACATCTTACAGGCAACAGAAAGTCAACTGGCACACTGGACAGTATCCTGAGCATAGGAAACTTCAAAGTTTACCCCCACAGTGACACACTTCCTCTAACACAGCCACACCCACTCCAACGAAGTCACACCTCCTAATAGTGCCATTGCCTGTGAGATTATGGGGGTCAATTACATTCAAACTAATATATATATACATGTATATATATATTTACACACATGTTATCAGTTCCAATTTGTGTTGTCTGTACGCTTCTAGGTGCAGAGCCATCCACTGCAGCATGGTTGATCTACCAGGATCCACGCCCTTAAAGAAAGATGATTCTTTTTTCTCTAGAAGTCAGCTGTCCATAGCTCCTCAGTTAAGGGTTGGGGCTCAGGAACCTCTCTCCCTGCTCCATGTTAGAATGTTAAATACAGACTGGCTTGATCTTCTTCAGGCAGACCTCGGAACCTTGAGTTCATCAGTGCGATAATCTCCCTTGTCCAGAAGACACTGTTTTTGCCCCAGTCCTTCTCGTCTCTGCCTTTTACAGTCTCTTTGTTCAGCCTCCCCTTCTGATGTGGCTCCTGAGCCTGAGAAGACTTGAGAAGTACATCCCGCTGGTGGCCAGGCGCCCCTCAGTCACTTACTCTTGAACTTTGACCAGCTGTGAGTGTCTGCGTGAGCCAGGATCTGCAGCACTAAGAAACTTCTTGGATATGAGAACATTCTTTAAACTTTGAGCAGAGAAATATAACTTTAGAGGGTAGTTTAATGCTGTGTCAGTTGGCAAAATAATTGCAGTAGGTTCATCCTGAGATCAGAACTTCTCAACCAAAGATGCTTGGTTAGATTTTTCAGTGGTGACATGAGTTTCTTCTTGCAGACCGGGTCTTAAATCCAATAGTTGGTTACCCTATAATATTCATGCCACAGTTGCACCCATGGGCCTCTCTTGCCATGCTGGTCACTGGTTGTTGCGGTGTACAAAGTTCACAACTGTGTAAGGCTATAGATAACTTTCATCCCAGGACTGCAGAGCAACTTCCTGTACTATGAGAGCTGGCCCGCACCTACTTGACTTCTCTGTGCCCTGTGGCCCATGTGTATGCTCTCCAGCGGTAAGCTCTTCCCGTCTAGGTCTGTTGGACTAAAGAGCAGTGGTAACACCAGTATCATTATGGGGACCCAAGGACACCCACGGTCCACAACTCAAGGAGACATATCCTACATATACCCCTGGGCTTTTTATTTGACAACCTATAGCTTCCAGAATCAGCACAATGCCCTGTGTAGGGCAACTCCACTTAAACTCTTTCATGTGAACACACATGTATTTAGGAAGCTTATAAAATACTGAGTCTCTATATGGTATTTTCAATAATTCCCTGAGCTATCCCTCTCCAAACCATCTCCTCTGCCCTACCCTACTATCCCTCTCCCATTTATTGCCCTTTCCTCTCTATATTACTCATATTCTTCTATTCCCCCTGCCCTAGATATTCCTTTCCCCGTTTCAACTTTCTAGTTTCCTGGATTCTACAAGTCCTCCAAACTAAGCACACGAGTATAAAATTTGATAGTCAGATCCACTTTATTCTTTAGTAAAGTTTCTGAATCATTAAACAGTCTCAAAGAGCAATCTATGGGACTGTTAGAATCTGTATTGAGACCACCAGGACCCAAATAACCACCACAGATGAGTTTCTGGTGTCCCGAACAGAAAAATAGAGACTTCTTGCAAAATGGCGCCCAGTGCATGTTGAACACAACCAAGCAACAGCAAGCAACACTGGACTTTGTAGCTACCTGTGCTAAGTGCTGCACATCACTGTTGGACGTCTGTTTCAGAAGTCTCTGGCTTGTTTTCATTCTCCTAGTTTTCTAACACTGTTTTTGTTCTTTCTAAATTCGACCTTTAAGAAATATGGACACACCATGTCATGGGATGGTCTTACAAAGGCTGACCTTCCACAACCTGTCTTCACCTATCCACCCAGCCCTGTCCTCTCAGACAGAAGTTTTAGCTTTTATTAGACTTCTGGCTGTGGTTGTTACAAATGGCCCACCACAATAGGGCATCACAGTTCATTTGGTAGGCACTTAAATATTTGTGGGTGATAACCCTTTTCATATTTAAAAATCATTCAGCAGCTCAAATGACACCTAAGTGACTGGGACACAGAGGCCATAGTCAAAAGTTCAAAGGTCCCTTGTATGCGACGGGAACAAGAAGAGCTATAATAGTGACAACCTACCCCCGTCACTGTGCTCTATCCTCAGAGTAAACCTGTGTGCAAAACCATTCTTCCCTTGGGGTGCCAGGGAGCCACCCTCACTTCTCAGCCAGGCAAATGCAGCTGAGTGTATAAGCTTGTGCACCAGAGCATAAACAGAGCCATGTCACGACACATCATGTCACGCGGGCTTCCATGCAGCTCCACTGCTGACTGAGTTTGATTCTGACTCCTCGGGCAGACATCTGAGCCCAGGGAACCCTTAACTTCACCCCATCTTCCCGCCAACGTTCCTGTCAAATAAACCCCATCTTCACCTGAATCATTCTCCTCATCCCATCCTGTCCCCATTTCTGTCCATTGACATCTTCTCTGCCTATCAACACCGAGGTCAGCTGCTGCTTTTCCTAAGAGTCTGCCTAGACTTCTCTATTCAGGGCCATCTCTTCCTCCAGATCCCTGTTATAGTCCGACTCTGTGGTTTCTTTTTGCACTCACTCCTTGTGCTCCTTGGGGGTAGCCCTGCCCACTCTGTTGTTTCCTGTAACCTGTGCTCAGTTAGCACCTTGTACACAGAACATATTAACTTTTAAATGTCTGATCATTTGCAGCTGAATTGTTTAAGGTCTTGACTAGAACCAAGGAGCGCAATGCTCCAAGAGTTTAGGAAGTATTTTTAGGAGTTAAGAATGTATATAGATGTGGGATGAAAATATCCTGCTCTAAACCCTGACATTTTCTGAGCTGAAACCCAATATTTAGAATTTAGTCAGACTACCTGATTTCCAGAGCTGTTCCTGTATGCACTCTAAAAATAGATTGCTTATCCCAAGGTATTTTTTATTTATTGAACAATAGGAAAAATATTACTTCTCTCCTAACTTGAATATTTTTAAAAATATTGTCCCAAATACTTTTACTCATATTGCTAATTTGTCTTTAAAGTATTAATAATATTTAAAAAAATAATTTAAGATTATATTATTTTTTTTCTTTTCTTTTGGGCATTGAGTGGTCAGATATGTAATCATAAATATTGATACTTCACATAAATTCAGGGCACTATTCCATATAGATAAGGTATTTTATAATTTATTATTGATACAGTCCGTAATGATATGGCCATCTCCTCCTGGTCGACTTGTCACAGAGTTGGGTGGCAGGCCGCTGAACCAGCACTGCAGAGCTTTCTCTGTTACCTTCCTTCTTCTGATCAGCGCAGAGGGTGACATTGACAGCCGTATGGATCACTTGGCGTCTTCCCCTCCTCCTGATTTTTCCTTGTACTTTGTTCTCTTGGGTCTGAGGGACATTTCAAGGTGGGCTCAATGTATTAAATATGCGTGCAGTCTGACTACAGGACCAGGATGGCACACACTAATGATCTCATTGCAGATTCTGCTTCAGTTTATCCCGTGTGGGATGCACTCAGCTAACTCGTGGTGAACCGACGTCTTCCCAGTCTTTCTCTGCTCTCTGACTTGCTTGAAGGGCTTCTATGTAAACCATTCTAGCCAGTGTATCTTTTTACATTTTGAGGAGATTTCCCTTAAATGTGGCCATCAGGTGCACATTTGGAGCATCTAAAGATGAAAATAATGGCTTAAAACGACATAAGAGAACAAAAGCAAATGAACAAAACAAAACAAAGCAAAGAAAACCCTCTAGTTGGCCTCAGAATGATAACTAAGCTTTTCTGCTTAAATACAAAAATGCTGGTCTTTAAAGAAAGCGAAAAATAACTTGGTTACCTCTTTTTTTAAAAACATGGCCTGGCGACAGCTTCTCGAGAGAGATTCTGTCCTAGCCTGTCAAACACGAGTACTTCCAAACAACCGTCCCCGTGCTCTGAGTGTTATTCAGGTGACCAGTGTTCCTTTAGCCTCATGTCCTTTTAAACAACCGTCTCCATGCTCTGAGTGTTATTCAGAAGGTGACCAGTATTTCGTTAGCCCCGTGTCCTTTTTAGAAATACAGGAATTAGGTCTCTCTTTTGTCGTCTTGTGGTTTGCAGAACAATTATAATACTCCAGGGTTTCGAGCGCGTAAATCCTGCCCAAGTTCTCTCGCACAGCTATGCACTTGACTTGCTCTGTTCTGGCTGCAGGGTTTACTCAAAGAGTTACCTTCGCTGCTCGTTGGGATATACTATTCTGCAGGCTGACTTGGTCACCTAATTACAAGGATTTCCCTGTTTTATTTTCTCCCAAACACTCATTACTACTTGAATGACTGTGTGCATTTTTATGTGTAATCTGTTTCTCTTTGCCACTTGAAGCTGCATGAGGGGCAGAAGTGCACAGATTCATGTGACACTACGCACCCAGCTGCCAGGAGATGCTGGGAATCATGGTAGGTGTGCAACAACTGTCCTCTACATAAAAACAAGTGGTCGGCTCTGTTTCCCTAACTTCCCTAGTCGTCTCTCTAAAATACAGTTATGACCATGTTGTATGTTTGTAAGCTTTAAAGAGGTCCCCAGTCCCTACAGAATCAAAGACAAACACACACCACCAATCTTGCCGTCCTCCCTCTCTGCACATACTCCACATGCCTATAAAGCTGGCCACACAGAACCACAGCATGGCCATTCTTCTCATGTCTCTGCACTCTTTGCTCTTTTCACCAATGCTGATGCCTTCTCTGAGCAAATCCTGATTGCCGATCAGGGCCTAGGCAGAAGGTGAGTTCTGCTGGGAAGCTATTTTGCCCCCACCCACCCACAATCAGCTGGTGCATTTCCAAGGCTCCTGCTTTCATTCGAACACCCAAAGCGCAGATTTGCAGTTATTTCTGCACCTGTTTTTTTTTCTTCTAGCCTTTTATGAGTTTTATTAATTACTTCTACTGCCATAATGAAATACAGTGATGAAAAATGACTTATGGAAGAGTTTACTTTGTCTTAGGACTCCAGAGAGGGAGTTCTCACTGGCTGGGGAGGCACGGCAGTAGGCAGCTGGAGCAGGAAGACACAAGGTCACAACTTCAACTCCACTCACAAAGCAGAAAGAGTGAACTGGAAGTGGGGCAAAGCGATAAACTCTCAAGGCTTCCTCTAGCAAGGCTCTACCTCCTAAAGGTCCCAAACCTCTCCAAACAACACTCCAACTGGGGAATATAACTGGATCTTTCTCTCCTGCCTACCAGTTCCTGAATAACCACTGTGAGGCTTAATATTAATTACAAACTGTTTGGCCTATTAGCTCAGGCTTATTAGTAACTAGCTCCTAGAACTTAAATTAATACATTTCTATTTTTCTATATTCTACCTCGAGACTCGTGGCTTGTTACTTCACATCTTGCTTCTCTGGCAGCTGCTGGTCTCTCTCCGACTCTGCTTTCTTTCTCCCTGTATCTATTTGGATTTCCCAACTATCTATATTCTACCCTGCCATAGGCCAAAGCAGTGTCTTTACTTACCAATGATAACAAAGCATATTCACAGCATACAGAGGGCCATCCCACATCAGGGGACCAAGTCTTCAAATATGTGAGACAAATAGGGGACATTTCTGATTCCAACCACCACACTGGCCTTTGCATTCCTCAGTGCAAACAATGAAACGAGAGCATGTTGCAGAGTTTTGCATATGGTTCTTCATTTCTCTCTTCCTAGCCATCACTTACATCCCAGTTTTGACACATGAGCTATATTATAATCTTTCATTGCTGGAGAGTGCCATAGAAATTGTTATTTTGCACAAATTTTTAATGGAATGATTGATGGGTAGTGAGTGGATATACACATAGAATATGACTAGAGGTCACAGGTCTAGGTTCTTCCCTAAGCACCTCCCCCTTTTATAAAAAAAAATCCTACTTTTCTGCATAACTGCTTCATTACCATTCTTGCTGTCATGTACAATTATCTCCTCATGTGCCCAATTAGATGATTCCACATGATTTGGAGGGTATAAATGATTAATTGAAGATTCATGTGATTAACCTCAGGGACCTACATTCTTTGGCCTACAAAAGGAAAGAGAAGGTTCATCTGAGGCCAGGTAGAAAACTGGACAGAAAAACAAACTGTTCTGGGTATATCCATAGCATATTTTCTATGAACTTTGAAATGTGCTAACTCAGTCTTTAGGAAATAAACAATGGAATGAAGAAAGTTAGAGTCGAAGGAATAGGAAGTAGTTTCATACTTCATGACACAGAATGTACGGATTTCATCAAGGCAGCAGACACTGTGTAAGGAAGGTCAGAGAATGTAGCTGGATACAGAAAGGCTGCACCAATCACCTCCACCATCAACACACTAAGCAGTCCAACCCACCGGAAGTGCCCTGTGTTGAAAGAAAGGTGCAAATCCTTCACCACAGTCTAAGCTTTGCAATTTGATGCTGGAAAAGCTATTTCTTTCTAAGTCCATTCAGGGGCCAAAATATGACCCCATGAGCAGAGACATCTAATCCAGTTATTGCACACACAGGATGGGGAAAAGAAATGTACTTATAGTACAGGATCAGGGGACAGTGGCCCTTTGAAAGTGCTGGTGGTGTCAATGTCTGGAACTTGGAGCCCATGGACCTTGACTCCCTTCAATCTCATTTCTTATGATTTAGATCATGAATCTGCATCTTCCTCCACTCCAGCCACAGAGTTCTCCTGGCAGGCCCTATGCCTTCCCAATCTCCAGGACTTTGTTTCGAGATGGTAATTTGTTTGTGGAAACCTTTTTTTTCTGGGTTTCTTCAGGGTGCCCTACTGTCTAGATCAGAGGCTACATTTCTTTACGTCCCTTAAAGTGTGGTCTAATTAACTTTGGGCCAGGAGGATGGTATCCAAAATTTTGCATACAGTTTCTTGGCTGTTTTAATAAAAGGCAAGAGTGTCATCATGTTCACTAAAATGTGGACCTGGTGGTGAGTTGCTCTAGCTATGTGGACGAGGGCAAAGCTACCAGATAAAGAAACTAAAACTTCTGTTGACTTCTCCGAGCACAGACACTAGCTAACTCAGTCTGCAACCTAAACGAAAAGTAACTTAATGTGTTACTTTGTTCCTCCGTCACAGCAGCTGAACTCAGAACCTAAGTTTTACAGCAGTTTCATGAAGCGGCCTGCCCACAAAACATGTTTTTCCATTGTTTTGCAACTCCATTCTTTACGCCCAACTCTCCACGAAGGGAACCTCCTGCCTTTCTTCCAGTTTGGCACTCCCGTTTCTGACCCTGTCGGGACATGTTGTTCCTCCAACATCAGTATCATGCCTGTCAAGATGCCAGCATCATCTCCAACTCACACTCTCGCCCTTTCGTTGTGGTTATCTACTGCCCATCTATGCCCTGCATCCTCTTTCTGGCTGTCTACCCTACTCCTTTTCCCTTCTGGGTCCTGCTCTGTGACCCAGAAACTAATATCACAGACTGTATAAACCAGAGTGCTGTGTCTTCCAGTTTCTAGTTAGATTTACCCAATGTGTGTTAGGAGGTTGGAAGATCTTGGAAAAAAGATGTTCAAGTGTTTATTTTCACAACGCCCCTCTGGTGGGTCACAATTCTAACTTCTGTGTGACTCTGTGCAAGAGCACAGCATCTCTATAACAGTCACGTGCTGTGGCTCTAAGTTCTGTCAGGCTGGGGTAGGAATAGCTTGCTGACACTCCTGCCTTCGTGTTTTGTCATTTCTTATACTTACCTTAATTCTACTCTCACAATTATAATTGCTTTTATTATTAAATTCTCTTAAACTTACATTTTTGAGTTTGCCTCTGTTTACTTCTGGGTTCCCGGTTTCTGACATGCTTCATTTGACTGTCCCCAAACTCTGAAAATCTGTAAGTCAAGGAACAAGACAGATTTTTCCCATCACAAGTCTAGCTGAGTCCCCTACTCACAGTTTTTCTCATTACTCTTCATAAAATTGGAAAACACACTGTCCACTCAAGGTTCCTAGAAAACTTCCCAAGAAGTTGACCTTTGGCGTAAAGTTTCCCGTACATAGCCTAGATTGCCAATATAATTTCTCTCTTTCATTTCATGTGAATGTGAAATTACTTTATCCTTTCTCATATCATCATGTAGGAACTACACTTTACTCCAAATACTTACTTCACTCATTTCTTCAAACTTGTTTCATTTGTTTATCTGATATTTTATATCAATATCTTACAGCCATGTATAGCTTTTTTTGTTCAGATTTTTTTATTCAAATGAGGGTTTCACTATATTCAGGCTGGCCTTAAAACCTGCAAACCACCCTCTTCTGCCTCCAGAGTGCTAGGATTACAGGCATATACCATCATGCCAAGCTTGTCCCCATCTTGTATCCTGGAACATTGCTGAGTTCTTTTATTAGTTCTAACAGTGGTGTGTGTGTGTGCTGTGGGAGTGGGAAAGTGTATACACATTCTCTAGAATGTTCTATAGTTTCCCCCCATGCATGGGGAACATTTTTCATGATCTTCGGTGGATACTTGATACCACAGATTGCTCTGAACCCTAATGGTTCATATCTTTTAGTAACCACTTATGGTAGTTTGAAAGAAAATGGCCCTCCAAAGGGGTGGCACTATTAGGAAGTGTGGCTTTGTTGAAGGAGGTATGGCCTTATGGGAGGAAGTGTGTGGACTTTGAGGCTTCAAATATACTCAAGCCACACCCAGTGAGGTTACTTCCTGTTGCCTGCAAGTTAAGATGTAGGCCATTCAGCTACTTCTCCAGCACCATGTCTGCCTGCACGCCGCCATGTTACACCATGATGATAATGGACCAATCCTCTGAAGATGGAAGTCACCCCAACTAAGTGTTTTTCTTTGATAAGAGTTGCCATGGTCATGGCGTCTTCTCTGAGCAGTGGAACCCTCACTAAGACAGCACTCAATGCTTTCTAGTTTTACTATTTTTCTTGTTTTTTTTAGAGTTCCGTTCAATGCGTTTTCATCACATTCACGTCCTCCACTCGCTCTTCTCAGCTCCATCCCCCACTCCTTACGCCCAGCTGTCTGTCCTGCTTTGTTGTTTTGCTTTGTTCACCCATCGAGTACAGTTGACGCTACCCCTGTAGTTTTGGATACAATGTGGACATCACTGGAAGGTGGCCAACCCATCAGAGGCTGTAACTTAAAGACAATCGGCTCCCTTGCAGCAGCTATCAACTAATAAGAGCTCTTTAGTTAGAGGAAGGACGTCCTGCTCACCTCCACCTCCTGTGCTAAAATGTTATCTGGCCCACATCTATGATGGCGTTGTGCATGCTGGCTCAGCTGCTGCGAATTCGTGTTCGACTCCCCTAATATGTACAGAAAGCTCTGTCCTCTTACAAGTTGTCAACTGCCCTGGCTCTTACACTCCTTCCGCTCCCTCCTTCACCATGAACCTTGAGCCTTGGGGAACAGGGGATAATATTGATGCCTCATTTAGGTCTAAGCATTTCAGTCTTTTATTCTCTGTACCTTGATCAGTTATTAGCCTCTGTGTTAATCACCTCTACTGTAAAAAGAAACTTCTCTGATGAGGGTTGACCGATGCATTAATCCCCTACAGGTAAAACAATAAGCCATTGGGTGTAAGTTTAATACCATATCTGTTTAGTAGAGTAATAGTAATAGGCTCTCCTTTGGGGCCTGTATCTCATACATCATTTTTCTCATTTGCAGACATCAGCCATGAATCTTCAGATATGTGTGTTCCTTTTGGAATAGCCTTTGAGCTCAAGAAATGAGGAAAGGACCCTGTTGGAGGGCATGATTTAGAAGGTGAGAAGATAGAGCATAGTGGTATGAAAGGTTAAAAGGAATAACGTTGAAGAGGGGTTTAGTGTGAAAGGAATGGGGGGCAAGGTATATAAGGAAAAATGGAAAGGGATACTAGAATAAAAAACACTGAAAAATCCACAGGAAAACCTACCACTGTAGATGCTTCCTGAAGTCTACACATGCACACATATAAAACACTTAAATAGAGTTACCCTTTAACAGGATTATAATATCCCACTTAACACCACAGAATAACAAAAAGTCCAGCACTAGGAATATCACCTTTGGAGTTATGGGCAACTAGAGTCCCATAGACCCCCAAACATTACAGGATATTGCCGATGCTCTTGGTTACACTGTAGAATGTGATGCAAAGACTCTGTTACCGAGGATACCATACACTTGAATATAGAACTTGAAGAACTCCAACTGATACTGACCTAGAAGTGCCCATGGTGCTGGAAGGTGCTACGCATGCTACTAGACAGTAAAGGGAATCACCGGTTTTTCCTCGCTGTAGACCTTATAATATACAACAATGACTGGTCTGGCAAGACATGCCTACCAACACAACAGAGCCACAACATCATGGTAAAATCAACGAATTTCTTATTGGATTTGATTCCTGCTCTACAAGTTGAAACTCATGCTTGGAACCATTATTAGAGCCAAGATACTGTGGCTAGATAGGTCATAGCCCGTAGGGGAGAGCCCACAGTTACCACTCTGCTAAATGAATAGAGTATTAAACACTCTCTGGATACTAATGGTCTCAATTTCTAAATCAAAAGACCCAAACTAGCAGAGTAGATCAAAAATCAGGAGCCATTTATTTTCAGCCTCTAAGAAAAGCAACTCAGCACAAAAGACGCACACGATCCAGGGTGGAAGAATGGAAAATGGTATTCCAAGTAAATGTGCCCAGGAAAAAACAGGTTCTGCTGTTCTAATATCTGACACAATAAAGCCTCAAATCTGAGCTAGTGAGAAAAAAATGACAGTTACTTCCTACTGATGGGGGAAATAATCTATTAAGAGGACATTGTTATTTTAAAAATATGCACCCTAAATACAGGTGTACCCAGATTCATAAAACAAGCAATGTTTGATTTAAAGTCACAGATTAACTCTTGCACAATAACGGTGAGTGACTTCAACAGCCCACTCTCAGCAACTGCAGATCTTTGCAACCAAAAAAGTAGGAATATGCAAATTAAATGACATCATAGTTCAAATGGATTTAACAGGCATCTACAAAATATTGCACTCGGAGACTGCAGAATACATTCTTCTCAGCAGCCCATAGATTTTTCTCTAAAATAGATAGCATATTAGGACACAAAGCAAGTCTTAAATACAGAAAATAGAATTAATTCCATGTATCTTATATGATCAAAATGGAATAAGAATGCAAATCAATAGCAAGAGAACCCCAAGAATTTGATTAAACAACACAGTATAGAATTATGAATGGGTTCTTGAATAAGTCAAAAGGAAATATAAAAACTCCTAGAATCAAATGAAAATGGAAAAATATCAAAGCATATGAGACACAATACAATCAGTTCTAAAAGGGGATTCTATAACTCTAATAACTCTGCCTACATCAAGAAATCAGAATAATCTCAAATCCCTAATTTGATAATAAAATTTAGAGATCTAGAAAAATAGTAAGTCAACCCCAAATTAACAACTGAAAGAAAATATTAAGATCAGGGTAGAAGTGAATGGAATGGAAAGAAACAAGCAAACATAAAATATAAAGAATCAAACAGAGTTGGGTTTTTAAAGGGTAAGCAAAGTCTTAACCAAACTACCAAATAGAAAGAGATTCTTTTAGAAAAGACCTAAATTAATTGGAGATGACTACAACTGAAGATGAAAACAGAGTTGGTACAAGAGATACCGATGAAAGCCATAACATCATTATGGTTTGCCTTGAAAACATATAGTCCACTAGATATGTTTAACCAATAAGAATTAAATGGGAGGGGAGAAGGGAGAGGAAACTATGGTTGGGATGTAAAATAAATAAATTAATTAAATAAATTTTAAAAATTAAAACAAGATAAAAGAAACAATTTTAACAGCTCTATGGCAAGCACTGAGATTGTAGTTATTAAAATTCTCTTCGTTAAATGAGTCTAAGCCCAGATGAATTCACTGCTGAATTTCCCAGTCCTTCACAGAAGAGTCAACGCCAGTGCTTCTAAACTACTCCAGAAAATAGAAAAGAACGTTACCAAACTCTCTTATAGTACTACCCCAACATCAAAAATAGATAAACACACCAAAAATGGGGAGGAAGGAAAGGGAAAGAAATTACACATCAATTTCTATGATGAACATACATGTAAAAATTAGCAACAAAATACTTGGCAATTGTATTTGATCAAAAGCAGATTGAGATGATCGTCCACTGTCACTGAGTTAGGTTTGTTCTGGACATGCAAGAATGTTTCAATATATTTAAATCAGCACATGTTATAAATTAAATAAATGGACTCAAGGACAGAAATCACAGCCATCTTGATAGACACATAAAAGGCTTTTGACACCCATTCATGTTAAAAGTCCTGAAGAAACTCAGAATAGATAAAACACACCTCAAGAAATATACGTTAGATGAAAATCTGTGGCCAATATCATATTAAATTGGTGAAACTCAAAAACATTTTCACTAAAATCATAAAGAAAATGAGGGTGTTCACCTTCTATTATCTAACTCAATATAAAACTGGAAGCTTTATCTAGAACAAAAAGTCAAGAGAAGCAAATAAAAGGATACAAATAGGACCAGAAGAAGTCAATATTTCTCTACTTGAATATGATAAGATTCTATACATAAAAGACCATAGACTCCACCAAAAACTCTAAGAAATGATGAACACTTTCAGCAAAGTGGCAGGATACAAAGATAACACAGGAAAATCATTTCTGTACTGATGACAAACTGAAAAAGGAGATCAAGGTAGTAATCCTATTTACAACAGCCTGAGAAAGTTCATCTCGCAATAAACATAACTGAGAATGTGAAGACTTCTGTAATGAAAACTTTAAACATTGAAGAAAGAAATTAAGGAAGACACTAGATGCTGGAAAGATCTCCCATGCTCATCAATGGGAAGAATCAATACCGTAGAAAGGCTATTTTACCAAAAGCAATCTACAAATTCAATACAATCCAGAGACATTCTTCACAAGGGATACCACCTCCCTGCGAGTTGCTGGTCAGGGAGACCTTAAAGGTTCCTCAGACACCACAGGCTCTTACCATTGCTCTTATTTGCCCATCATAACTACATGGTAAAAATCCGACTGCTGAAGAAAAAAGCCACTTTTGTTGGAGGACAAAGAAATAAACTGATTAAACATTAACATTTTCTCCCTGCTGGCTAGCTTTCACAGTGACAGAAAGAGCAATGCAGGCCATTAGGGCAGAAAATTCTTCAGTGATGCTAGCCAGCAGTGAACCCTAATTCAACAATACTTGCTAACTTGCCAGACATTATACAGCCACTGGTACAGTAGTGGCATAGCTGACGCAGGAGCAACCAACTTCTTTCTAATTTTATTTAAGACCTGCTGCACAGGAAGGGATCCATGCCTGGTATTGTAAACTTGGTCAAAGCTCATGACTTGGGAGGCCTTATGCAGTTTGGGGACACTCACTACTGCTGTTTTGCTAAATGGACATGGTGTCAAAGTACCCTTTGAATATTTATGTTTATACCCATAGATTAGTGCTAGTCTCAACCTTGTTGAGAAAAGTTTCTTTTGCAATGGGCAATAGCTAATGCAGGTACTCAAAACTGGCCAAGATGTAGAGAATAAAAGACTATTGGGTTCTAAGGCCAAAATGGGACATATATATTAGACATCTCCATCAGAACTCAGGGAATATTTTGGAAGAGACAACAGAAAGGATGGAGGACCTGGACTATAGGGAGTTGTGCTATGAAATAATATCTTCTGAACTTGGCATGGCTGCTGCATCAAACTCACTACACTTATGGTTACATCTGCATAAGGATTTCCGAAGATCAAGCAAACAAGATCAGTTGATATTTCTGCCTGCAGTGCTGATTGGACGCAAGAGGAGATAGGGACAGGGCTTTAAGATGTAGAGGTGGGAAGGGGTGTCTGAGGGAATGGATGAAGGAACTAAGGGTTGATGTGATGAAGATAAATTGTATAAGCACTGTTAGTCAATAAAAACCCTCATGCCAAGAATATGTTGCTTCTTTTGAGTTTGGTCACCAACACGGTTCCATAAACTGCCAAACATTACAAGTGATTGCTATTGATCTTCGTTACTGACTTAGTTAGGGTTTCTATTGCTGTGAAGAGACACCAGGACCATGGCAACTCTTACAAAGGAAAACATTTAACTGTGCCTTGCTTACAGTTTAGAAGTTCAGTCCGTTATCATCCTGGTGCAACATGGTGGCATGTAGGCAGACCAGGTGCTGGAGAGGTGGCTGAGAGTTTTATGTCTTAAAGACAAAAGGAAGCAAACTGCCTCCCTGGGAATGGCTTGAGCAAATACGAGACCTCAAAGTCTGCCACCACAGCAACACATGACACACTTTCTCCAACAAGACCACACCTACCCTAACAAGGCCACCCCTCCCGTTAATGCCAATCCCTATGGGGTCATTTTCTTTCAAACCAACACATTTCACCCCTGGTCTGCAAAGGTTCTGTTCTACTTCTTGGTCTTCCTTTTCTCCTCAAATTTTGTATTTTGTAACTTATCCTGTTCAGCTTACTCCTTTTCACTATAAATCTTCATTAGAGTTACCACTAACAACTACATGACAGAGTCTATACTAGGCCGTTTTAGGATTTCCTCTGCCAACAGAATTAATCCAAAACTCTTCACTTTAGCCTCAGGCAGACTCTTAGGACAAGGGTAAAAAGCAACCACATTCTTCATCAAAATGTCACAAGATCGGTCTCTAGGCAACATACTAAAATTTTTCTTCTCTGAAACCTCTTGATTCAGGCACCCACAATTCAAATCACACTCAGTTCCACTCTCTTTCAGGCTTCTACTAGTATGACCCATTAAGCAACACTTAAAATGTTCAACTACTTTTATAATCCACAGTCCTAAGGTCCATATTCTTTCAAACAAAAGCATCGTCCCAGCAATACTCCACTTCTGGTACCAACTTCTGTCTTTGTTGAAGTTTCTATTGCTGTGAAGAAGCAACTCTTATGAAGAAAAGCATTTAATTGGGGTGCCTCACTTACAGTTCAGAGACTCAGTCCATTATCATGATGGTGCAACATGGTGGCATGCAGGCAGACAAGGTGCTTGAGAGTTAGCTGGGAGTTTTACATTTTGCAGGCAACA